GATGGAGGTGACTCTCATCTGGTATGGTCTGATCCCTTAGCTGAAGGTAGCTCTCTTTTGGCTGATGTGGGAAGAATTGTGTAGCCATGAAGAATGAAACTGTGTCATTTGCAAAAAAAAAAAAATGGGAATGGAGATCATCATGTTAAACAAGTTAAGATGAACAAGTATGGTGTGTGTGCTCTCACATGTGGACCGAGAGAGAAAGAGCCGCAAAGGAAGGGTTATTGTTACTGTTAGGGGCCAAGAAGGGGACCACTGGAAGGGGAGCCAAGTATGGATAATGGGATAATTATAATCAAAGTCCTTTTTATATATGATTGAAAATGTCACAGTGAAACCTATTGTAATGCAAAATTAACACACATTGATAGAAACGTACAGAAAGCCATGCATGGTTCAACATGCCTGGGATCCCAGTCCTCAGGAGACTGAGGCAAGAGTGTTACAACTCGGAGGCCAACCTGATCTTTTAAGACTCTCTCTTTAAAAAGGAAAGGAAAAGAGAGAGATGGATACAAGGAAACACGGCAGGAAAGGTTCTGCTATGCTTCATTAGTCTAATGTTTAGTTAGCATCCTGGGGTACGTGAGTGCATACTACACTCCATAGAGAGGTTCTAGTCTGGGTCCCTTTACATATTTAAAACTAAGTAAGACCACTAAGACACTTTTTCCTTTTCTTTTTGTATTTTTGAGACAGGGTCTTTCTAAGTAGCTCTGGTTGTCCTGGAACTCACTGTGTAGACCAGGCAGGCCTTGAACTCATGAAGATCCGCCTACCTTTGCCTTCCCAGTGCTGGGATTCCATCACAGGGATTCCATTCACTGGCTAAAGCACTTTTAGCTGATTAGCATATGTCAAAGGTTATTATATTAACTTATAGGGAGAGGGTGGCATTATTTCACAGTCTTGTCAATCTGTTAATGTCTGGCTTAAGAGGAGAAAGATGCATTCTGTATTTATCAGTGCTTCTAATCTGTTATGAAACACTACCATGGACAGGACAGAATATGGAATAAAATCTTGTTTGTCCACTATGCAATTGGGAAATGAAGTCTTTTCATGGCTTTTTCACATATGAGTTGCATTTTATACTTCTTTGGACTTTATGAGTGATAGACTCTTCCATCAGTTGCTGGAAACCTGGAAACAGCACAGCAGCCTGGATGTGTCTGGGGTTTGTGGGTTTAGAACGTGTTTGTTCAAAGAGATGGCTCTTCAGGGAAGAGCACTGGCTGCTGTCACAGAGGACCAGAGTTCCGCTCCCACCACCAGCCAGGTGATTCACAAACATCTGTAACTCCGGTTCCGGGGGACCCAACTCCCTCTCCTGGCCTCTGTGGTCACTGCATGCATGAAGTGCACTTGGAAACACGCAGGTGAAACACTGGACACAAATTTTTAAATAAAAACTTTAAATTTGTTTGCTTGGCTTTGCTTTTTGAGACAGGGTCTAGCTAAACAGCCCATGCTGGTCCCAAGATCACTGTCCCCTGAGACCTGAGCCTCCCACATGCTGGGATTGCAGGACATGTCACCATGCCTAGCTCCAGAATGTGATTAGATTTATATTGCACATTTCGACATACAAAACCTCTCTCTCTCTCTCTCTCTCTCTCTCTCTCTCTCTCTCTGTGTGTGTGTGTGTGTGTGTGTGTGTGTGTGTGTGTGTGTGTGTGTGTGTGTGTGTGTGTGTGTGTCTTTCTTTCTAAAGATGGAGTCTTATTTTACTCAGGCTGGCCTTGAACTTGTGATCTCCCTGCCTCAGCATCTGAAGCATCTGGAATTCAAGGCAACACCTCCGAGCCATACTGGCCTGGTTTTCTTTTGGGAATGGGAAGAATCAGGAGCGGTTCTGCAATTTTTATCCAAATTGTCACCCACACGTTGTTCAAATCTGTGTGTTTTGGCACCACATGTATAAACTGATGATATGGCTGCTCCAAGGCAAGGTTAAGCAGCAGGTCTTTGTTGTAGATATGAGAGACAACCAGAGGCATCTGCAAGAGTCCAGAGCAGAAAGAGAAAGCAGTAAACCGAACATGGCCAGCAGACTGGACTTGGCCGTGAGAAGAGAGGGAGGCGGGGAAGAGCCTACCAGGAGAGAGGGGACCAGGAGAGAGGGGACCAGGAGAGAGGGGACCAGGAGAGAGGGGACCAGGAGAGAGGGGACCAGGAGAGAGGGGACCAGGAGAGAGAGAGGGGACCAGGAGAGAGAGAGGGGACCAAGAGAGAGAGAGGAGACCAGGAGAGAGGGGACCAGGAGAGAGGGGACCAGGAGAGCACCCGACCGAAATAGAGTTATAAGGGAATGAGCGGCTGGAGGAGGGAAGCCCATGACCTGGAGAAGTTTAGGGCAAGGGTGGGGTGAGAGGAACTGAGAAGAGCCAGGGTGTCAGCATGGACTCTGTAACAGGTACTTGTGGTACTGAGGGAGCCTGGAGGCCACATGCACTTCAGTCTGCTAGTGGATACCAGAGATAGCCCTCTGTCCCAAGTTTCTTCTGGACCTGACTGTGTGTGCGTCAGCTCTCCCTTCCACTCACAAGGTCTTGGAATAATCAGCTTATAAAGAAACCAGGTTTGTCCTGACTTGGAATTTTAGAAGTCTCAGATTTGTTGGCCCTGCATGGGGCCTGTGGCAACATGTCACATCAGGAGCACATACTGGAGAAAAAATGCTCAACTCATAGCCAGGGAATTGGGGCGCTGGAGTGGAAGGAGTTTGGGGTCCCATGATTCCCTTCAGGGCATGACCTGCCGACCTCTCACTAGGCCCCACCTCTTACCCAGGCTCCATGTCTCCCAACACCACCTGCATGGCAACCACGCCTCCACCACATGAAAGGGAGGGTGTTGAAGATCGAGGCTGATGGATCTGGTACTCTAAAGCACATGCCAAGAAATAGCCTTTTTCTTTCTCTCTCTCTTCCTTCCTTCCTTCCTTTCTTTCTTTTTTAATATAATATATTCTAGCTATGACACTGTATCCATTCTTTCACTCACTGAACTTTGTGATGGCTTTTGAACAAAAGCTCAGAAAAATCGGACTGAATTTCTCCTTGCTCTGATGAACTCTGCCTCATGTGTTTATTGATTGCCTTTATGTAAACTAAACTTTGAAACCTCTTACACCATATTAGAGCTCATGGCCGACGGGTAGCAGACAAGGGGAAGTCAAGGTCTTATTTGTTTTCAACAGTAGCTTTATTCAGATGTAGTCCACATATCATAACATATACTCTGTGTCTTTATTCATTCATTTTGACCATGCTGAGGATCCGATCTAGGGCCTTCCGCTTGCCAAGGAAGTGTTCTATTACAGAGCCGCCCCCAGCCCCAAACCTATCCTTGGGTTCAGTGATGTCCTGATTGGGTTTTGTTTTGCTTTGCTTTGTCAAATTGACACAAGCTAGAGTTGCCTAAGAAGAGGGAGCCACAGTCGAGAAAAAAACGCCTCCCTAAGATTGGCCTGGAGGCAAGTCTGTGGACCTTTTTATTAATGAGTTACTGAGGTGGGAGGGCCCAGCCCACCAGGAGTGATGCCGCCTCTGGGCACAGGGTCCTTAAGAAAGCAGGCTGAGCAAGCCATCGACAGTGGCCTCTGTTTCAGTTCCTGCCTCCAGGTTCTTGCCTTGAGTTCCTACCCCGACAGCCTTCGGCAATGGAGTGTGACCAAAGAGTTGTGAGGTGGAACCAGCCCTTTTCTCCACAAGCTGCCTTTGCTCATGGTGTTGTATCATAGCAATAGGAACCCTGACTAAGGCCAGGGGGACATCCATCAACTGCAGCAACTGCTGGAATCTTTTACTTCTTGGTTTTTAAAGACGGGGTTTCTCTGTGTAGCCCTGGCTGACCTGGAACTCACTCTGTAGACCAGGCTGGCCTCGAACTCACAGAGATCCTCCTGCCTCTGCCTCCCAAGTGCTGAGATTAAAGGTGTGCTCCACTACGGCCCAGTGAGTTAGAATGTTTCCATCCTCACTGTGTTAGGAATAATAGATTTGCCTGCTTTGGTGAATGGCAGGAGACAGAATTCCTGTGGGAGCAATTTAGAAGGAGGCTGGGGAACTTGCCTGGACTGCACCCTTTGGAGGAGGGCCGCAGGTGTGTGAGAGGGTATGTTATGTGTGGGAGGCTGTTGAGCTGAAGCACCAGGAAATTCCATATTTGGGTAGAAGATTGGCAACATACTTACTATCCAGGGGTTCCACAGACGTGGGAATAAGTTGAATATGTTCACTAGAAACTGCCCCTCAGTTAGAATGGAAAAGGCTTGGGCCCTGATGAGCAGCACAGAAGGCTGGAGCCAAGGGTGAGAGGTGAAAATTAAAAAATCTGCCCTCAAATGTGTGCAGAGTGATAAACTTGAACCCCCAGCAGGCCCCACGAGGCCCTCACAGTGGTGTACCTGGCCAGTCTTAGGAGGGCAGCAGGGGTAAGGACAGGGGACGGGGCAGGCTGGCCAGTGGCGAGCAGGTTAGCCCCAAGGGTGCCAGGAACAACTGTGGGTGACCTTTCCTCATGGGTGGCCCTGCTACCTTCCCCCCTGTGCTGGCCTTTGCTTAGCCTCCACGCCTCCTGGCCTTCAGACTAGCACACCTCACTGTGTGTGCTTAAAGACAAACTTAAGCTTTTTCGTGTTTATATCCACACTTCATTCTTTATTTTATCTACTTGCATTTTATTTGTGGTTCTGAGAATGAACCCCAGGGCCTTCTCCAAGCGAGACAAGCATCCTACCCCCAAGCCTGTCCCCAGACCTTGGTTTTGCTTTTAAACTTCGTTCACTTACCAATTCACCTATAAAATAATTACAACGACTCGTTAGAAAGGCGCCAGAAAGGCTGTAATACCAGGCCAGCTCGGGCTTTTGTGTTTAGACTGCCAGACTAGGTGAAACCTTTGCTGGGTGCTCAGCTAGCCAAGGCCGCCTAGGCAACTCGGGGGGTGGAGCCGAGAGAGGGGTGGGGCTAGTGGGGCGGGGCTAACGGGCCGCTGGCGTCCCCGCAGCTCCGGTCCCCGCCGCCCCGGAGCCAGGCAGACTTGCAAGAGGAGTTGGGGAGTGGAGGGACTGCACACCTGCGGCCGCTGGAGCGTGAGCGCGACCCTAACCGTAAGCTCCGGGGACAGCGGCGGCAGCCCAGCCTGAGAGTTGCCAGGGCTGCGTGTAGCTCCCGCAGTGAAATGCGCTTCCCCCTATCCCAAGGCTGATCCCCCGAGTGCAGTCCGCCTGCCTCCAGGTCCGGCATCCGACGCCCCCTCCCCCATCCCTGGGCAGTCTGGGTGCGCTTCTGAAGCCAGGGGTGGGTGTTGGGCCTGACCCCTTGGCCCCCTCCCCGACAGGTGCAGGTTTGTCCCCTCGGCTCCCAGCTCGCGGCTTGCCCGGGCACCTGCCCCGACCCTGGTGGCCAGGACGCAAGCTCTGCAGGAACTCTTCATTTTAACTTCTCCACTCTGTACCTCTCGCTGTTTAAACTTTAGCGGCCCAAAGCCAGGGTCGCCCTGCCAGCGCTGGTGGGTGGATCGGGCGGGAGGTGGAGGCATCCGGTGCCTATGTCACCCTAGGACTAGGACCGCGCCTTTGCTAGCGTTCTGCGGTTGCTGGCCAGGACTGTTGAGTTAGACTTTGGGGTGGGGGTAGGGGGTGTGTTTTGCTTGCTTCTCTGCCTCTGAATTCTGCGTGGTCGTTTTTTTTTTTTTAAAGCCTCAGTGCCCCAGAGGCTAACATTGTTAGTGTGACAGAGGCTTCCTTCCTCAAGTGGAGCCTTTCACTGGCTGTGCCTGGTCTGACGTAGCAGAGGACTAAGGAAAAAAACAAAACAAAACATGGGCGTGTTCAGCAAACAGTTTCCAGTCCCAAATACCCACACGAGGAGGGCCGCGTGATGACTTCCTGTGTCCCTGAAGAAGTGTCTCCAATGGGGCTGTGCTGAGGGATCCAGACTAGCTGTTCAGATACTGTCCTACACCCTGGGGATGGCAGGGAATGTGTTTTCATGGGACATGCTTTTTAGGACAGACAACAAGCAAAATTCAAGGACCAGCACCATAAGATAAACGAGTACATATCTGTAAAATTTAACGTTTACTGGAAGATGATGTGTGCTGTGGAAAATAGAAAGCATTCAAAAGGGAAAAAGGAATGTTGAATGGGAAGTGAAGAAGGCCTCACAGAGGCAACATTTTAACACTCCTGAAGAGTTAGGGAGCCACTCTGTGTCCAGCTGCACTAGAGTGAGGAAAGAACCCGCAAAGGGTCCTGCGGCCGGAGTGTATGCCTTGTGTCGATGGCTTTCCTGTCCTTATTTGCAGTCTGAGAGGAGTGACCAGTGTCAGAGAGAGGGCCCCAAGCTTTCTGCTGCCCCAGATTCCAAGAACACAAGATTTTCCCCTAGACTCTCAACTGCTCAGAAAGTCAGCTGTGGGAACTTGAGCACCATCCGTAATCCCCCATGTTGTCCTGTGTGACTGCGCCTGCCTTTCGGTATGCCTCAATCACACTGGCTGCCGCAGAGGTCCTGAGGTGGGAAGTACATGGTGAGCAGAGGGAAGAAGTTTTAGTGAAAGTTAGGAAAGTGTGCACCTCCACCAGACCCCTGGGGTGCCCGTTTTCTGCCTAGGGTCCAACTAGTACACAAGTGGTACCCACAAAAAGCCCCTGTTACTATGAGCAACATTTCTCCTCCCATCCACAGAGGTACCGGCATGCCCAGGCATAGTCCTTACCTACCTGGTGCCTACTCTCCCCCCACCCCGCGCCCCCCACCTCCGGTATTCTGGCCCAGGCTCAATAATGTGAAGGGCAGAAGTTGCCCAAATTCCATTCCTTAACTCTTGTTCTGAGACCAGAAAGCGTGGGAACACAGCCTGGTTGTAGAGATGGGAGGCAAAAGAGGTCAAGGACACCTTAGAGACAAGAGGGTCGCTACTCAGTCCCACTGGCCTTCTGGGGTCCCCTGCAGCAGGTGGTCTTCAGGCCAAGCCAGTGATGTCCTGGAGTCTCCAGTGGGCTATGCTGATAATACTGAGAAAGGCCCCCAAGAGGGAGCCAACTTCTGCTAGGAAGCTTCTCCTGCATGGTGGTGCCCAGGGAAGTGGGGGAGACGGGGTCCCCATCCTGTTACATAATCAATTGCACAAACTAGTTCAAAGGCGCGCTTGCCCTGCTCCCAGGATTCATCGTGAGGGAAATCACAGTTCTTGCTTTCTCCCCAGAGGGCAACTGTTTCCCTCTCGGAGTGGACTGCGTGTTCCTTCCCACCATCGCAGGCCGGGAGTGGATCTTCACTCCTGGCCCAACGCCTGCCTTCCCTTTGCTGCTGGCCGGTCACCCCCACTTTCCTGTGGAGCCAAGCCACAGCAAAGCCACACCCTGTGCACTCTTCCAAGGCCTGGGGAGCTCACTTTAGGGGGAAAGTGTTGTTCCAGCTGTGTTATTAAAAAGGCTTTGCAGGCTGGAGAGATGGCTCAGAGATTAGAAGCACTGGCTGTTCTTCCAGAGGTCCTGAGTTCAAATCCCAGCAACCACATGGTGGCTCACAACCATCTGTAATGAGATCTTGTGCCCTCTTCTGGTCAGCAGGGATACATGCAGACAGAGCACTGTATACATAATAAACAAATCTTAAAAAAAAAAAAAAAAAAAAAAAAAAAAAGGTTTTACAGAAAATTCTCTAGTTTGACCAACCAACAAGCAAGAAGCCTTGCTGCTGAGTAAGAAGAAGGAGTCTGCTGCCTTTAGCGTTTGAGAGGCTGATGAGCCGGTGGCACAATGTGGATGTCTCTTTGGCACTGACTGGTTAGATTATCGGAGCAAACATCCTCTCTGAACTTTAAGTGCTCTTTCCAACAGGGGGAAGCCGCTTTACTTCTTAGGTTGGAGTATTACATGAGGTGATGAGTGGAGAATCGGGCTGTCAGCAGCATCGAGGACACAGCTCAGCTCTGTGGCTGTGCAGCCTGAGGCTCTCCCTGTAAACTCCAGCCAGGAGCAGCCAGGATTGACCTCAGGGGCTCAGGGATTAGTCAGTAGGAAGCAGAGTTGGAGTTTATGAAGAAAAAGATTTTAATATAGACTTAAGGGGGGAGAGAGAGAATATGACTGACTTAAGAAAAGGTCACTTGTGTGACTTTCTCTGGAAACAGGTGAACAAGTGTCCATTCGTCTCAGAACAAAGAAACAATTCCGCAGATTCCACAGAAGAACAGTTTGACAGCCAATGACTTGATTAGCCTTACAGGAGCGTTGATGAGGGGCTCTTTGCAGCAGCATGGGTGACTCGAAGGTAGTTTGCATCACTGATACGTCCCATCCCGTCATGAATGACGGCTCCTCAAAAGCTGCATCATAACTGCAGGTAAACTGCAGTCACCTACCTACCCCCTGCATAGTCTAGTAGCCCTACCCTAGCCCAGCCTAAGACCACACACAGCTGGGAGCAAGAGTAGTGGTGGGTGGGTGACGTCCTTCTGGGCGTATTAAGATCTCCATTACCCCAGGCCTAGCTGTCACTGTCTTCTCCCTCGACACAAAGGGGCCAGGGTTATCTCTCCTCCTTGGTGGTGATAGGATGGCTGTGCCATGCCTAGAGGAAGATGCCATAGTAAACAGTGGTGCCCATCTCAGAGTAAACAGTGGTGTCCATCTCATAGTAAACAGTGATGCCCATCTCATAGTAAACAGTGGTCCCCATCTCATAGTAAACAGTGGTATCCATCTCATAGTAAACAGTGGTGCCCATCTGTGTGTGAGTACCCTTTCAAGAGACAGGTCCTACCTAGTTTCTTTGGTGGCTTTTGAAGTCTCCCTGTTCAAAGGTATGTTTTAGCATATCTATTTTTATCTAAATTTTTATTTAACCACCGAGATTAGAAAGTGGTTTATGAGGGTCATTGTACACCTGTTTGTTGGTAAGAAAGGAGTATTGGTTTTTTTGAAGCAGGTCAAAAAAGGTCGAAGTAATTCTTACTACATGTCACAAGGAAGTGGAGGCGGATTTTGACGGTTAAGCATGGTTCAGTCTTATTTGTGAGGTTTTCTCAAAGGATTAGAGTCCCTCACAGGCAGTTTGAAAATTCTTTGCAAGAGACTTAACCAGATCCCGGGGATGAGGGGCTCCTTTATCTCTTCATATTCCCTTATGTTCCCTGTCTTTCTATCATCTCAAAGTACTACCTCGGTGTCACAGTCCGGGTTCTCTCTGAACTCCCTCTAGATTATGAGTGAACATTCCTGCCATGAACACACCTGGCTGCCGTTAGCGTGGCTTCAGCTTGCACTATGTCCTGGGAAGGCCGTACGATACCACAGCCGTGGGCAGGAGGTCCCAGTGCCTCCATGGGGCATCAGAGAGCCACAGGTGAAGGGCAGCCTGTATACAGAGGACATGGCTGCTCCAGGGTATGGCTGAGCAGACGGTTTTTATTGTAGATGTGAGGGAGAGTACAGCCAGAGGCATCCTGAAGAGTCCAGAGCAGAGAGAGAAAGTCATAAAGTGAACATGGCCAGCCGACTGGACTTGGCCGTGAGGGGAGAGAAAGAGGGTGAGTGAGAAAGGAAGATGAAGAGAACCAGGAGAGTGTGAGACTGAGTGTGAGACCAAGAGAGGACGAGAGAGAGAGAGAGAGAGAGAGAGAGAGAGAGAGAGAGCACATAGCGGAAATAGTAGGGTTGTAAAGACCGTGAGTAGCTGCGGGGAGGGAAGCCCACGAGCTGGAGACATTAAGTGTAGGGGAGGGGTGAGAAGAGCCAGGATGCCAGCATGGACTCTGAAATATTTAACAGGTACTGGTGACACTGTGAGAGCCTGGCAACCAGAGTGGGCTTTGGTATGCTAATAGGCATCACCGAGAGCGTTCATCCCTTCTTCCAGGGATAGGGAAAGGGCTCCTTTGGTGGAGGAGAACAGGCTTCCCAAGTTCCTGAGGAATGCTGGCGTTTGTCTAGCCCCCAGAATGTGGACCTGAGACAGCTAAGGGCGTGTCTTCTGGCCACCCTGCCTAGAGCTTGGCTCTCCTGCAGAAGGGGTGACCATGACTGTTTTGAAGGCTGGTTTTTAGGTAGTACCAGAAATGAGTTAGCTCCAGAACCAAGCCGGAACGCCTTCCTGGCAG